TTTTTTTTATCTGTTAGCCTCTAACACCGCTTGCATTTCTTCTGGATTTTGGTCTGGAGTCACACTGGTTTTTATTGCATGATCCTCCATAACTTGAGGGACACGCAGAGCATGGTTTCCCTGTCTTATATGGAGCCTCTCCAACCCAGTTCCCCCTGGAACAGAAGAAGAACATGTACGTGTTTGGTTATTAACCCTCTTCTTTCGTTTTCCCAAAATCCGCTTCATAAAAACAACCATTAGTTCCTGCATTTTTAAGATTCAAATATTGTATTGATGGATACAGTAAAAATTCTTACTTGATAGAATAGTTGCAAACCAGAAAGGTGGCCCGTTTCCACATACTCCCAAAAACATACATGTTTGGACATCTTCTGATAGCACACCCAATCTTATTGCTGGTCGCCCACACCATCTGAATCAAAAAGTCATTACTAAACTTAATATCCTAGATATCTTGAAAAAAATCTCTGAAAAGAGTCTGTATTCAATTAAATATAATACTTATATACTTACTCATATAAATAGATAATCAAAAAAATAAATTATTAATAAAAAAATAAAATTTTATTATAAATAATGTTATTATATATAAAATATTTAATATTATATGTATTTTGGAGACCCACCTGAGTATAGTGTGTGCAGACAGAGCCACTGCATCTGTTGGGGTAGGAGAAATAGTGTCTTTCATCATACCAGGATCTTACCAGGTCAATGATCGATCTGTATCTGCAAAATGAAAGAAATATTAACAATCACAGTCAGAATAGAAAGTGTAGATATGATCCAGAACTGACGTGGTTTTTGGATATTAATTCATGCTGATATATGACTGTACCCATATAGTAGGTTGTTGTAAGCAGGGCCGTCCTTAGGGAGGTGCAACTGGTGCAGTCGCACTGGGCCCCACGCTTGAGGGGGCCCTGCGGTGAACGGACGGAGGGGGAACTCCCCCCCCCCAGAACGCGATCACAAACGGACCGAGGGGGGCTCCCTACCTCGCACCAGGCCCCGTGTCAACTAAGGACGGCCCTGGTTGTAAGGGTCTGTACCTTCCAGAGATGATGGACAGGTTCTGTCCAATGTGTCGCAAAACATGAGGCGGTCCATGATCCCAAATGCACTGAGCGGCCCAGGACTCTGCAGATTTAGCCAGTCTCTCATCCCACACCTCACAAAGGAGAGAGAGGACAAATAAACAAATAATACAAAAAATAGCTCACCCAAAAAGCCCATGCAATGACAGTGACTAGAAAATATAGATGATAAGCAACAAAAAGGAAGAAAAATCATCATCAATTTTGTCCATACAACATGGATTTTGTGAGGAACAGACATTAATTTAACATATTACAGCTTTACTAAGCCATAGCGATGTCTGAATCATGAGCAACGATTCTTTTGAATTAGATATTTGTGATCATGGACCACAAAACCAGTCATAAGTAGCACCAACAATACACTGTATGGGTCAAAATTATCGATTTTTCTTTTGTGCCAAAAATCATTAGGATATTACCTAAGTAAAAATCATGTTCCATGAAGATATTTTGTAAATTTCCTACAGTAAATGTATCAAAACGTAATTTTTGATTAGTAATATGCATTGCTAAGAACTTCATTTGGACAACTTTAAAGGCGATTTTCTCAATATTTCGAATATTTTGCACCCTCAGATTCCAGATTTTTAAATAGCTGTATCTCGGCCAAATATAATTGTCCTATCCTAACAATAATGGAAAGCTTATTTATCCAGCTTTCAGATGATGTATAAATGGACCCTTATGACTGCTGTTGTGGTCCAGGGTCACATTTGAATGAATTAGTTAATTCAATTAAAACTGATCTGAATGATTCGTTCACAAATCAGACTCGAGTTCAACTAAATGATTCGCTGGCCCTTAAGTTCACTGAGGTGAAGATAGTTAAATATAGGCTTATAATACAATATTGATATCACATACTGTCAGAAGACGCGCTATTTAAAGTCATACAGTCCACTTTTATGATACTCAAACTTTTATGGTGAACTTCAGCCCTTGTTGGAGCTAGAGATTTTCAGTCACCTTGCATTGTAATTGCATGGGAAAGAGCGACTAGATTGTCCTGAAATGTTAAATTCAGGAAAAAAATTAGGATATTTTTATGTTGTGTATGTGTCTATGTGATGACCATAAAACATTAGTAGCCTAATGTTAAAAAGTAGTAGGCTAAAGCTAATAAAAATGTCCTACCATATATTCCATATTTCCCGCGGGTGGGAAGACCTGTGAGCGCACGCGGTTGTGATAGTCCAGAATGGCCGTCATGTCTTTACTGGAGATGAAGCGTTTCCGCCGCGTTCGAGGCGCGCTGGTGTCGCTGCTGTTCCTCAGCAGGGCCTCCATAGAAACATCTTTGAGATGAAGCAGCCGAGTTGCGCTGCTCAGCGCCACAGATGTTGCGGTGCACGGCAGTGTCCACAACGTGGCAGCAAAGAACAGCTGAACGCAGGCCAAACTCATCATCTGCCTTCTGTCTGGTTGGCTACAGGTGCTTTATTTGTGGAAAGAGAATTCAGTGTCAACAATCTCTCACTGTATTAGCCAGTAAAATAAGCTCAGGAACAGTACAGTCCCTACTCAAGTGTAGGCTAAATACAGTTTAATCCTGCAATTCCTGTACACCATTTTAGACCATAGTAATCGAATAAACATGTCAACATATCGATATAATAAGCAGATGACTTTTGTGTTACCTAAACTTTTATAGTTGCCCAAAAATTGCCAAACGCATCCTTTAGGGGTGGAAATAGTGATAAAACTTAGATTTTTTATTTTTGTGTGAACTATTTAAAAGTTATAGTTACCATTTATATTTTAAAACTACAATTTTTACAATAAGGGTTACAGTAGGGTTAATTCAATTCAACTTTATTTCCAGACTCAAGGTCCATTAGCAAGAAACACACAATACAAACCAAAACAATACACATTAAAAGAGACAGTTATACCAATACTTCCTCATAGAGGACTGAAATCGCACTTCAGTAAGCCTATTTGATAACAACATTATAATATTATTATGTGAATCGTCCAGCTGACAAATAAATGCATACATCAAATTTCTCATTAAAGCAGGGAATGATTGTACTCTTGCCTTACAGAATAAATCACTTGCACTGCTCTATCTTGTTTTTGCAGGATGAGTTACACCGCAAAAACTCATGGTTTAAACAAACTGACAGACATTACACCCAAATACCCTCACTATTCTTTAAATATATTATACATGTAAACATCTAAACTTTGGAAAATGCAGCAGTGCATCAACAACAAAGATCTTTCAATAAACCCCTTTATGAAAATAGACATTTTTTTTGTAATTTAATCATTTAAAAAAACACATAACGGCTATTGAAGAGTAAATTTTGGCATATACTTATGAATGTAGTCCTGCAGTCTAAAGAGAGCGGGGGTCTTCAGCTGGAGTGGTCTTTCACAGCACATAGGCTACCTTCAGCAGTGATTCCAGCGCTTTAGCACAGCCTGGAGAAGAGCAGCTGAAAAGATCTCCACTTAAACTCTGGCCTTTGCAAACAACGTCTCTGACATGTGTGGCAGCAAACTTTAACTGGGCCAACTCTCTAAGGCCATTTGACGTAAAAGAAAAGCCCTTGTCTCTTTTTCTTCCCCCACAGGGATGTTCCTGAGGTTCAGGAAACAATTTAATGGAAGGTTTTGCTTTTTCAGCACACACTCAGTATGGAAGCTCCAAACAGTCATGCTCTCCAATGGGATTTTAAGATTGATGACTTTTCAACAGTTATTGCTCTTCCTTTCCATTACCTTTGTGATTTTCAAATGTTGTTTTACCGCTTTTTGGGCAACTCTCACCTCTGAATTCGTCATTTATCTTTCATTGAAAATCATAGTTGTAGGACATAGTAACTAAAATACAGTGCATGCAAAGTAATATTCAAAAACAAATTGCCCATGCTTGTTTATAGTGGCTACATCGGACTCTTTTTCCTTTAAATCATCTGTTTCTGTACTATGCTTATATTGGACATTTGAAATCTTTTTGTGAGCTTTGGTTGGAGCTGCACTTAGCCGTCCTGGCAAAACGTTTCAATAAAATAAGTTGAATAAACACAGGCAAGGATTTTATTAAAGTGAGGGATTTTATTCTTCTATTAATCAAAGGCCAACTTTTAAAGTCATAGCCCAGTCAGCACGTTGTCCCAGCTGTCTAGGATTCCAGGAAGGACATGCATGCCATGTGTAATATCTTCAGTCTCTGGGCAGTGCCAATATACACTGCACAACTTTGACTGCAACAACTACTGAACAGGGTCATCGAGAGCATTCCGAAGTATTAATGATATGGGGCAATCCTTTGGAAAACAGCAACCTCAGCATAAACTAAATGTCAATGCAAGATTAATAATAACATTATAACAGGACATTATTTTTTCCAGCTAAAGATCAAGTGTTGTTACGGTGGGTGTCCAATAGCGTGGAACAATCCTGCTCAAAATGTTACACACTTGTCTGTTGCTTTGGGGCGTTTCTGACACAAAGAGGCATCCAAAAAAATGTTTTAAATGACAGGTTTTTAGGTGGAAAGACGTTGGAAAGACACAACCTTTATTTCAATGTATAATATAATACACTAATATTAATACAGCCACAACAAAAGCACTTTTCAGCATTTAAATCCTGAATATAACAATATATTATTTAAACAATAAATCCACCAAAAACTGTGTCACAGTCTGCAACTCAGAACCATTGGCTTCTGTCCAGGGTTTTGCGCCAATCATTTGCATAGAATTAATGGCTTTTTACGCTCTGTTTGCACTTGCTCCATGCCACTGTCAGTCTCACAATCCATTGTGCGGATGTCATTCTTCTAATAGCAAAGTCCAGTCTTTGCTGATAGTCAAAAGTAAAAGAACAGAAAGATATTAACACTTCTAAATGACAATACTTTAGAATTCTAGTTTGTTTTTGGCTGATGTAACATCTAGCAAATGTAAGTATTGAATACAGTACTATAAGCAAAATATAGTGAACATAAAATCAACATTATTTAAAAATATAATAAAGTAGCCTTAATTTAGCTTTCTAACTTTTCATTCAGCATGTACCTGTATAGTAAGGCTCGGCATCCTCAAAGAAAACTTCAAAAGTTAGCAGTCATCCTAAAACTGCCACGGTCAGCAGGGTCAAGGTTCAGCGAAAGGCCTGTTTGGAAGACTTTCTGTTGACTTACTATATAGACAAGAAAGCTGCGACTTGTTCTCTAGACAAACATATGATGTCACTTCCTAAGATACGTAATGTACGGTTTTGTCCTTGTACACAAAATACACAAGTTTGGTCATGCCATTGATGAGACGCATTTTGTAAACATCCTTCCCTGGGTCAAATGTTTGACAGTTTTATGTGCTAATATGATGACTACAGAACTCGAAGCTATACAGTGAGCCCTTGTGGAGTGTAGCGTTTAAAAATAGCTACAGGCATGTCTCTGTCAATTCTATCACATACTTAATAGTGCTGTCATCACACATCAAAGGAGGTGATGAATGTTGAGCAGAAATATCAAATGAATCATTCAGTGCATGTAAGCAGCCCTGGAAAACATTAAAGGTATAACCAGTTATAGCTTACGTTAAGCTTAATTCATTCACATAATGGTTACCTTGACTACATCTCGTTCATGCTTCCCATCTGCACAAGGCTGAAGGGTCCTTGTGCATTGTGGGATTGAACAAGAGGGAAAAAGTGACTTAAAAAGGTGCACAGCTGTGCCATTATCTTCTCCACAGCAATGGAAAGGGCAGTCAGGTCTTTCAGTGTATGAATCACGTCATTTAGCATAAATCCAGGGCTTCCCATTCCCTGCTGCCGCTCCATTTCTCATGTCAGCAGTCCAAACTTTGTTTTGGCAGGCCCGAAAACAAATTTGCTAAGTGATGTAGCTGTTCATGGTGATGGATGGTTTTGAAGGGAATAGAGACAATGGGTCTGTTCTGACCATTGGTTACTGGAATTAAAAAGTAATCACACCACACGGTTTCTCATTACACGTTGAATTACCACTAACATATTTACAGCAGAGGAACTAACTATGCAGATACAAACTTATACTGGCAGACACTGGATTAAAGCAATGCATTTTCACAGTATTCCCTCGAATCAAACCCATGGCCCTGGTGTTGCTTTTGCATTTTATTCAAAAGAATTAACAATCACAGAAATATGGTAACAATGTGAAACCTATGAATAAATAACATTGATAAAAAAGAAAACGTATCATCACTAAATTAACATGAATAAGCACATAATTAAACTGACTGAATATTATGAACCGTAATTGATCAATCAAATTATTTTTTGCACAAATCATTATAGTTATCCTCAAAAATGAAAATTCTGTCATTATTTACTTATCCTTGTTTGGAACATATTTTTTTGCATTCGCTGCCAGTTTAGTAAACTATTAGCAATCATATTATTATCTATTTTAAACCTGTGAGCAAATAACAGATAATAAAAGGAAAATACAAGAATTTCTAACATGAAATATAAGAATTCCTAACATGAATGAGAAAACAATTACTTTGAATACTGCCAAAACTGTAGTTTAGTTATAGATCAAATTGTTATGTACTCCTATCATGACAGGGATAGTCGCAAAAATGAAAATTCTGTCATCGTTTACTTCATTTCTTTGCTGAACACAAAAGAATATATTCTAAAGAATGGTTTGTCCATACAATGAAAATCAAAGGGGTCCAAAACAACACTGTAAACAGTGCACATCAAGAATGTGAGCAAAAATGGATTAAATGGGAAGATATGTTACTTAGGTGACAATTTTAAAGTGTCTTTTAGGCTACATGTTTTTCTTTTTTTTTAAAGTAGAGGTTTTTCGTGACTATATTATAGTGCCACCTATTGGACAGTGAAAGCCTAGACAAAACTACTCACCCATTCTACATTCTAAAAATATATATTTTTAATGTTAATATATTTTGATATGTTTTAAAATAACTATATTTCTTCAAACCTTTAAATACACATTTAACCAAACAGCATCTTTTCTGCCGTTTTTGTCTTATAATCTTATGCAACGATGAAAGATTTTACTTTTCGTGATGATTAATGATGATAGCAGCAACTCACCCGTTACTAGAGCGAAGGTTTTGCTCATGCATATTAATCAGACAGCGCCGACGTGTTTAGTAACCTTCCTATGGCGGACGTCTCACTCTTGGATATTTAATAAGGTAATGGCGACCTTGCTTAGTAGTTCTCCAATGGTGAAGGCTTGCTCATGAATATTAATCGATACCCGTCATCATAGCAGGATTCGCAGTAGCGTGATGGTTTTTGTTTCCGCATTCAAACACACAGCAGCACACGTTATAACATGGCTGCAGTAGGCAGCTTAGTGAACAGTTTGGCTTGTCTTTGGAGGCAGCAGTGTGCCCGTACTTGTTTACCGCATTTGTTCTTTTGTATTTCGTTTACAGGATCGATTTTGAAAGCGACGGGCCTCGTGCCGGAGAGCTACTTCAGTAACAGCAGAAATGTTTTAAATCTGTGAGTACAAGTCTACTGTAACTATGTATGGTAGCAACCTTACCTAGAACTTAATTAAACACTGTAAAGCTAAATTATTTTCTTTGATAACAATAATATGTTATATAAAAGCAATAGGCTTTAAACGATATTAAAAAGCAATGCTTGTCATTGACAACTTAATATGACATTGATGTTTGGCTCCAAAGTCATTTAATCGTATTCACTTTCTTTGTTTGTTACTTTCAGATATTTTGTGAAAATTTCTTGGGGATGGACCATTGTTTTACTTCTGCCTTTCATCTTTTACTCCAACCTTTACAACAGAAGCTACATATTTGTGTTGAGGCGGCTGACCTCACTTCTGGTGGCAACATTCATTTGGTACACCTGCACTGAGACTTTTTTCTACATTGAAGATATTACCGGTTCATGCTATGAGTCAGACACCATGCAACCTATCCACATTACCACAAAGGTGGCGTGCAAGAAGGCCGGATTCATCTGGGATGGATTTGACATATCAGGACACTCCTTCATCTTGACTTACTCTTCTCTTGTGATTGTGGAGGAAATGGTGCCCATGTTACACATACCGCAGAGTGACAGAAACATTCATCTTGATTGTTTTTATATAGCACTCAATGCGATTGTGGCCATCTGGATATGGATGTTCGGATGCACTTCTGTGTATTTCCATGATATTATTCACAAGGTTATAGGGACGTTGTGTGGGATATTAGGGTGGTACGTGACTTACGTTGTTTGGTACCCTATGCCTTTTTCTCCAGGTCTCCCTCCACAGCAGAAACAACATGCTTAGTGTGAGAACTAAATGCTACAAGTGCACTACAACAAGCTTCACTTATCTTTTGTGAGATCAATGACAGATTAGCCGTCCAAGTGAGGCGGCAGGCAGCTGGTGTTCCTAAAATGACAATCTGTAGTCTGAGAGGTCACATCTGAACCTTATTATTGCCTTCAAACGTTTTGTGGCTTCATACAGAGCTGGAATAGTAAACCTGACAATAACTTTAGCTTATATGGTAGTCTGCTGCTGCTTTCTGTAATCAACCTGCAATCATCAGCTGAGCTGCCTTTTAACAGAAACGGTTCCTCATGACACTAATATTTGTAATTGGCCTATTTATTGATTTTAAACAAAAAATATGAAATCTGATAAATTTGAGGTCCGAGAATTATAGTGTGATGCATTTGTGTAAATTATATATTTGCATTGTGTTTTAATAGGACCATTTGATCTGTTCTGTTGTTCATTCATACATGCCATTGTTAGATTAGTAGTTTGCAGTTGTTATTCCTCATGTCACTGATGAATGTTAAGAGTCTAATCAGTTTGCCAAAGGAAAACTGACACCACCTGTTCTTAGAAACCCAAAAGGATCTCAGATATACTGTTTATAATATTATAAGACTGGATTGATGTTTGAGCGATGCATTCAAATAAATATGTGGCTGGTTATAAGTATTTCTTACAGGTTTGAAGAACAATGCAAATTAGATGTAAATTAATTCTAAAATACAAACGATGGGACATGCTGGTCATGGAGGGCACATCCATTACTTATTTCATGTGTCAATTAAACATGATTTTAGACAATTATCATTGCGATTATGCTTAATTCATCAGTATTCCATAGAAAGCATAACGCAATGTTGTTATGAGATATTGTACTGTATGACACCTGAGTTCTTGTTAGGATAACAGCACATCACTGAGGTGTATTTTTATTTAATACATTATGGTGTTTGAATGAATAAATAGCTTTGAATTGAGGACATCTAGTAGATGTCTTGATTTTGTTATGTCAAGGTAAGACTCTGTAAACCAAATTAAATGGAACAGTTCACCCAAAAATGAAAATTTACTAACTTGTGGGTCATCCAAGATGTAGAAGAGTTTGTGTCTTCATTGGAACAAATTGGAAGAAATTTAGCATTACATCAGTTGCCTATCAATGGGCTCTTGCCAATATAGAGTGCAACAAGGGCAAGCCTGTGGAACTTTCCAAATACATTTTTTTAATCTTTCCAAACATCTTATTTTAAAACATCGAGATTTTTTAAATGAGTTTTAATTAAGAATAGCAAACTGAACATTGTCTGTTCTCTCAAGTGCATCCGTAGATATTTAGGGTCGAATGAAAGCATCACAAGTAATCCACCAGACTGCGGATGCATATATGTTATAGTCCACTGCTTGTAATAAACAAAACCATCCTTATAATGATTTCAACTTCAAACCAATGCTTCCAAATAGAATATGTTCAGATATGGATTTTGATGTGAGAGAACAACAGGCGATGGAAGAACCATTATTATAGAGTATGGCCTTGTATTTTGGCCAGAAGCTATATGCTTTAATGATGGATTTATTTCTTACAAGCACAAAGCTTTCCGCTTCATACAACATTTAATGATGGACTGCAGTCATGTGGGTTATTGTGATGTTTGTTTTATCAGCTGTTTGGACTCTCATTCTGACGGCACCCATTCACTGCAGAGGATCCATTGATGAGCAAGTGATGGAATGCTAAACTTCTCCAAATCTGTTCAGAAGCAGAAACAAACTCATCTACACTTTATATACAGTGGATTTTCAGCTAATTTTCTTTTTTTGGCTGAACTATTCCTTTAAATATCTAATCAAATATATTCTACTGTCTTTCATCCTCTTACTCTTCTCCGTGTTTTGGTGCTGTGGAAAAATTCTGGATCTCTCTGGACAAATGTTGCAGTAGTTATCACACTTTAATGTGCGTCATGGGGGAAAGGCTGCCCCCGTCTGGTGCCAGCTTGATTGGTACAGTCCGAGCCTCAGTCGATTGTGTTTTAAAACCTGGATGCTGCTAGAATGTGCCTTTTAGACTAAGGGAGGGGGTTTGTGCTCACAGAGCTGCTGTCATTACAGCAGTACAGCATCATCACCGTCTGTGTGCAGCATCTCAAACAGGTGCGGAGACTCTGAAGACAGACGCAAAGACTAAGTAAGCCAAATTAGATTCAAATCTGAGACCATGACCCAGGGAAAGGTAAGCATTTGTATTATTTACACTGCTTTAAGATTGTATCATTTGACTTTAATTGCTGTCTATTAACCAAAAGGAAAGAGTTTTTTTCTTGTCTGAATTCAGTGGTCTGAATAGCTGTAATTTCTATTATGTGCTAGACTAGTCTGTCAGCATTGTTCTGGTTTCATCTGTCCCCCATGATGATTAATAATGATCCAGTGACACTAAAATAAGCTTTGTCATGTCTTGGATTTGTTTCCTTATGTTTTTGGACTGATTTCTGTAGCGCTAAATGGAGATCTTTTTGCTTTAGGAGCTCTTTTTGATTTCTTGAAGCCTGCTGGTATCATCTATTATAATGTTTTACAGCTGCATGAGCAAGCTGCAAAGGTTGAGTTAGAAAATAATGTCTAGAAGACGTTTCATGTGTTGTAAATACACTTGATTAAACAGATATGTTTATTATAGTTCTGTTGAATTTTATATGCATGAAATATTTATATTTTCTGTTAACAAGGTTCGTTTTTAGCTTCTTGAATTAAATGGATCAAGATATACAGGAGGAAAGCATCTTTTAAGGTGCCTTGTGATGTCATTTACCAACAGCAAACTCTCCTATTACAGTGAATTAGTCATTGATTAGTAATGGCCAGATCATTTACGCACTCTCTCCAATCTGTTACGTAAAACACACACTTTTGGATGGCATTATGCACATCGATTAACCAATCCATGTACAGTATAGCCATATAAAAAATAAACTCAAAAATATTGTTATAATAAATAATATTTCTCTGACAGATGAATAATGTAATAAATTACAGTGAATAATAGGTTCTGTAGCAATACAGGCTCCTTTTAAGAATTGTTCTATAATATCTATCTATAACTGTTAATGGAAAGCTAATATATTGCCGTTAAGTGCACATATAACAAATAAAGTTTAAAATGTTTACAGGTTTCGGTGTCAAACAAGTCAAACAATGGCTCGGATGTTCAGCCGATGGCCTCAGCTCCTCCAAGTTATGAGACGACAACTGCTGGTAATACTACTTTTTCCTTAATGAATTTCCTTTTTAAACTGATCTGCACTTTAAAATTATTATTAAAGGGGTAGTCCATCTAAAAATGAAAATTCTGTTATCATTTATTCCCCTTCATTTAATTTAAAACTGTGTAACAGAAAAGAAGATATTTTGAAGAATGTTGGTAATCAAACAGTTTTGGGTGCCATGAAATACTAGGGAAGTTAATGGGACCCGAAAGTGTTTGTTTACCAACATTCTTCAAAAAAAATCTTCTTTTATGTTTCACAGTGACAGAACGAATAAATGCATACAGGTTTTGAAGGACACTTGGATTGTTGGGTGGACTATCCCTTTAATTCATTCAATGCAAATGTATTTTGGACATTATATACTATAAAACACTAATGGCATTCATCACCCATGACAGTCACAGTGGATGTTTTAACTTTTTTTTTTTATTGGAAGGTGGAAGCCCTTGTTATAGTGGAGCTTATCCTGGAGACAGTGAGATGCTCACAGAATTCAGCTGGGATGATCAAAACATCAGGAGGACATTCATCCGCAAGGTATTGTTGCATTCTGTTTAGCAGTTCAGAGCTGCTGTGGACAATATGGAGTGAATTAATGTAATATTATTTCCTGTAGGTGTATACCATCCTGATGCTCCAGCTATCTGTCACATTAGCCTTTGTGGCTGTTTTCATTTTCTGGTGAGTGTATGAGCTAAACAAACGTTCATAATGCATTATTCCTTTTTTAAGCTTGTTTAACAAGTATGTCTTGTTTAACTTGTAGTGAACCTGTGAAATATTACATACAGACCAACCCTGGCTGGTACTGGACATCATAGTAAGTACAGTTTATAATTTTGGGTTGACATTGTAAATGCAAATCTTAAAATTCAGTTTAAATATAGACAGCATATAATACAGTAATTCAGTAACAGTGCAAGTTCTTACTTTATGTGTTGCTATGCACTGTTATCCACTGTGAATGTATAATGGATTTATTGTCTTGTTCTCCCAACAGTGTAGTGTTTTTTGTCACATATCTGACCCTGTCCTGCTGCCGTGGACCCCGGTGAGTGTATTTGTAGAGATACAAATGCATATTAATATAATATAATAGAATATATAATATGATATAATATAATTTTGTATTTATATTATCGTATAATTTATAATCTAAAATCATTTTTAATATATATTTTTAGCAATTAACTTCTATTTGAGCAAAATTGGCACATTATATAATATGCGTTCATTTCTATCTTTCCTACTTACAGGAGGCAGTTCCCATGGAATCTGATTCTGCTCATTATTTTTGTGAGTATTAAAACAACCAAAAGAACCTTACGTCTTTGGTTATCAATCTAGCTATTATTTGACAAATACTAGTATTGATCAAGAACAAGCCTATTTTCACATATAAAAGAAAGTCTTCTTCTATTTAAACATTAATCTCTCCTCTTCTGTTCTAGACTCTGTCTCTTTCTTACATGACAGGAATGCTCTCCAGGTAAAGTCTCACATTATATGTGTATTATTATGAATTTTTAACATACACGCAAACAACAAGTGTTAAGCATGTTCTGCATATTTTATGGGTTCATATTCATATTTCCACTTTGTCATACTTGCACAGTATATTGTGTTATGTCACAAAATGAATTCAAGTGAAATATTTTGCATATAACAAGATGTCAGGTTTTTGATAGGCCTATTTCTTATTTAAATATTTCCCCTCTCTCTAGCTACTACAATACTAAATCTGTCATCATCTGCCTGGGTATTACTGCCTTGGTGTGTCTTGCTATTACTATCTTTAGCTTCCAAACCAAGGTTAGTATTTTTAAAAGCAACACATATTTTCATTTTTCTTGAATGCAATCATTTTTTAACTGTAATCTGGAGTATATTTATTCTGATCAAATATTTGTGATTTTACAGATTGATATTACTTCATACCAAGGCGTGCTGTTAGTTTTCTGCACAGTATTGTTCATTTGTGGAATTGTCCTGGCAGTCATCCTGCCCTTTGGATATGTAAGTAGATTTATGATTTCTCAGCAGGGTGTTGGACTTTAATATTCACAGAAATTAGAATGTACTTTCACCAAAGTTCTTCTCTTTTCTCTTTACAGGTTCCATGGTTGCATGCTGTGTACGCTGCCTTGGGAGCAATACTGTTTTGCATGGTACATAATTCTAAAATAATTTCAACTCAGATCAGTATATAAAAAAATGTGAATATGTTTTTTGTTGAGTATCCATTACATTAGGCTTTTATGGCATGATATATTGAGAATATGGAGCTCATACACAAGTTGCTTCAGTCCAGTAAGTGTTCATCTTAATATTACTAACAATATCAAAGTTATTCTTATATTTATAAAAATCTGTAAAGATTTCACAGAAAAAAAAGACATT